TTACCCCAAAATTCGGGATTTTCGACCCAAAATTCGGGAATTTCCGTCCAAAATTCTGCACTTTTACCCCAAAATTCGGGATTTTCACCCCAAAATTCGGGATTTTCACCCCCAAATTCGGGATTTTCGATCCAAAATTCGGGATTTTTACCCCAAAATTCGGGAATTTCCATCCAAAATTCGGGATTTTCCATCCAAAATTCGGGATTTTTGATCCAAAATTCGGGATTTTCGACCCAAAATTCGGGATTTTCGACCCAAAATTCGGGATTTTCGATCCAAAATTCGGGAATTTCCATCCAAAATTCGGCATTTTTGATCCAAAATTCGGGATTTTCACCCCAAAATTCGGGATTTTTGATCCAAAATTCGGGGTTTTGGACCCCAAAGTCGCTGAATTTCCGCCCCAAAATCGCCGGGTTTTTACCCCAAAATCGCGGATTTTTAATCCCAAAATTTCGGGATTTTTAACCCCCAAAATCGCCGCTTTTTACCCCAAAAATTCCCGGTTTTCCCGCCTTTTTTTACCGCCAAAATCTCTCTTTCCCCACTCGAGTTTTTCCCGATTTCCCGCGGTTTTGACCCAAAAGCGGCTCCGGGGTGGATTTGGGTCCATTCGGGTCGATTTGGGGTGAATTTCGCTGATTTTGGGTAAATTTGGGGTCAATTTTGGTAAATTTGGAATAATTTTGGGTCAATTTTAGCTCAATTTGATCAATCCACGGTGAAATTTTGTTGATTTTGGGCTCAATTTTGGGTCAATCCCAATTTTCGGTCAATTTTGGGTCAAATTTTATCAATTTTGGGTCAATTTTTGTCAATTTTGGGTCAATTTGAGTTGATTTTGGGTCGAGTCGGTTTTGGCTCAAATTTCGTCGATTTTGGGTCATTTTTTTTGGTCATTTGACCCAATTTTGGTCACTCTCTCCCACAGGTGAAGACGCTGCAGCAATTTTGGGTCCATTTTGGGTCCATTTTGGGTCCATTTTTGCTGATTTTGGTCATTTTCTCCCACAGGTCCATCTGTCCATTTCTCCATCTGTGTCTGGTTCTGCTGTTTGGGGTCAATTTTGGGCCAATTTGTGCCAAATTTGGGTCAATTCAATTTGGACCAACCCAACGTTGATTTTGGGTCAATTTGCCCCAATTTTGGGTCCATTTTGGCTCAATTTTGGGTCAATTTGTGCCAAATTTGGGTCAGTTCAACCTGGATCAATTGGGGTCAACCTAAGGTTGATTTTGGGTCAATTTGGGTCAACTTGGGGTCAATTTGGGTCAACTTTGGGTCAATTTGGACCAATCCAATGTCAAATTTCATCGATTTTGGGTCAAATTCCATNNNAATCTTGGGTCAAATTTCATCCATTTTGGCTCAAATTTCGTCCATTTTGGCTCAAATTTTGTCGATTTTTGGTCCATTTTTTGTCAATTTTTGTCTTTTTTTTTTTCTCTTTGTCCCTCAGGTGACCGCTCGGACGCTGCTCCATTTTGGGTCCATTTTGGGTCCATTTTGGGTCCATTTTCACTGATTTTGGTTATTTTCTCTCACAGGTCCATTTGTCCGATGCCGTTTGCACCGACTGAGCCAATCCACGGCAAATTTGGGCCAATTTGGGATGAATTTGAGTCAATTCAGTTTGGGACAATTTGTGCCAAATTTGGATCAAATTTGGATCAATTTTGGATCCATTTCGAGTCAATTTCGCTCAATCCAATGTCGATTTTGGGTCAATTTGGCCGCAATTTTGGGTCAATTTGGGTTCAATTTTGGCTCAATTTTGGGTCAAATTTCATCAATTTTTACTCAAATTTCATCAGTTTTGGCTCAAATTTGGTTTGATTTTGGGTCAATTCAGGCCCAATTTTGGGCTCAATTTTGGCTCAAATTTCATCAATTTTGGCTCAAATTTTGTCGATTTTTGGTCAATTTTGGGCCATTTTTTGCTGATTTTGGTCACTTTCTCCCACAGGTGACCACACTGGACACTCGGACAATGCCGAAATCGCCGCGGTCGTTGGTCCATTTTGGGTCCATTTTGGGTCATTTTTCATGGATTTTTTTGCTGATTTCGGTGTTTTTTTCCCCTCAGGTCTGTCCATTTGTCCATTTGTCCATCTGTCCGATGCCGAAGTCGCCGCGGTCAGTGTCCGAGCGTTTCCGTGTCCGGTTCCGCCGACTGAGCCAATCCATGGCAAATTTGGGCCAATTTGGGACAAATTTGAGTCAATTCAGTTTGGGACAATTTGAGCTCAGTTTTGGGTCAATTTGGGACAAATTTGGATCAATTTGGCTTCAATTTGGCCTCAATTTTGGGCTCAATTTTGGGCTCAATTTTGGGTCAATTTGGATTCAATTTTGACTCAATTTTGGGTCAAATTTCATCAATTTTGGCTCAAATTTGTTTGATTTTATGTCAGTTCAGACTCAATTTTGGGTCAATTTTGGGTCAATTTTGGCTCAAATTTGGCTCAAATTTCATCAATTTTGGCTCCAATTTGGTTGATTTTGGGTCAATTCAGACTCAATTTTGGGTCAGTTTTGGCTCAAATTTCATCAATTTTGACTCAAATTTCATCGATTTTACTTCCATTTTGGGCTCAAATTTCGTCAATTTTGGCTCAAATTTTGTCGATTTCTGCTTCAATTTTGGGTCAATTTTGCGTCAATTTTGGGTCGATTTTGGCTCAAATTTTGTCCATTTTGGCTCAAATTTCATCAATTTTGGCTCAAATTTTGTCCATTTTGGCTCAATTTTGGGTCAAACCACGGTGAAATTTCGTCGATTTCTTGTTCAATTTTGACTCAAATTTTGCCTCAATTTTGGCTCAAATTTCATCGATTTTTGGTCAATTTTGGGTCTATTTTTTTACTGATTTCGGTGTTTTTTTCTCACAGGTGACCACACTGGACATTTGGACACTCGGACAATGCCGAAATCCCCCCGTCCATCGATGTCCGAGCGTTACCGTGTCCGGTTCCGGCGTTTGCGCCGCGCCGCTCGGACGCTGCTCCATTTTGGGTCCATTTTGGGTCCATTTGAGCTCAATTTTGGGTCAATTGGCACCAAATTTGGATCAAGTTTGGGTCAATTTGGGTTCAATTTGGCCTCAATTTTGGGTCAATTTTGGGTCAAATTTCATCAATTTTGGCTCAAATTTGGTTGATTTTGGGTCAATTTGGGCTCAATTTTGGCTCATTCTGGGTCAATTTTGGCTCAATTTGGGTCAATCCAAGGTCAATTTTGGGTCAATTCAGGTTCCATTTTGGGCTCAATTTTGGGTCAATTTGGGTTCAATTTGAGCTCAATTTTCATCAATTTTGGGTCAAATTTCATCAATTTTTACTCAAATTTTGTCAATTTTGGCTCAATTTTGGCTCAGATTTGGTTGATTTTGGCTCAATTTTGGCTCAATTTTGACTCAAATTTTGTTGACTTTGGCTCAAATTTTGCCTCAATTTTGCCTCAATTTTGACTCAAATTTCATCATTTTTTGGCTCAAATTTTGTCAATTTTGGCTCAAATTTCATCATTTTTGGACTGGTTTTGTTCATTTTTTTTCTCTTTTCCCCACAGTTGACCACTCGGACGATGCCGAAATCCCCCCGTCCCTCGATGTCCGAGCGTTTCCGTGTCCGTTTCCGGCGTCTGCGCCGACTGAGCCAATCCACGGCAAATTTGGGCCAATTTGGGACAAATTTGGGTCTATTTGGGACAAATTTGGGTCGATTTGGGACAAATTTGGGTCGATTCAATTTGGACCAACCCAATGTCGATTTTGGGTCAATTTGCACCAAATTTGGGTCCATTTGGGTCAATTTCAAGTCAATTTTGGGTCAATTTGTGCCAAATTTGGGTCAATTCAACCTGGGTCAATTGAGGTCAATCCAAGGTCAATTTTGGTCAACTTTGGGTCAATTTGGACCAATCCAATGTCAAATTTCATCAATTTTGGCTCAAATTTCATCAACTTTGGGTCAAATTTCATCAACTTTGGGTCAACTTGAGTTGATTTTGGGTTGAGTTCATTTTGACTCAAATTCCGTCAATTTTGGCTCAAATTTTGTCGATTTTGGCTCAAATTTCATCATTTTTAGGCCATTTTTGTTCATTTTTTTTCTCTTTTCCCCACAGTTGACCACTCGGACGATGCCGAAATCCCCCCGTCCATCGATGTCCGAGCGTTTCCGTGTCCGGTTCCGCCGTCTCCGCCGCGCCGCTCGGACGCTGGTCCATTTCGGGTCCATTTTGGGTCCATTTTCACTGATTTTGGTCACTTTCTCCCACAGGTCCATCTGTCCAATGCCCAAATCCCCCCGTCCATCAATGTCCGAGCGTTACCGTGTCCGTTTCCGGCGTCTGCGCCGCGCCGCTCGGACGCTGGTCCATTTTGGGTCATTTTTGGGTCATTTTTAGGCCGTTTTTGCTGATTTTGGTTATTTTCTCCCACAGGTCCATTTGTCCGATGCCGTTTGCACTGACTGAGCCAATCCACGGCAAATTTGGGTCAATTTGCGCCAAATTTGGGTCCATTTGGGTCAATTTTGGATCAATTTCGAGTCAATTTCACTCAACCGAAGGTCGATTTTGGGTCAATTCAGGTTCCATTTTGGGCTCAATTTTGGGTCAATTTGGGTTCAATTTGAGCTCAATTTTCCTCAATTTTTACTCAAATTTCATCCATTTTTACTCAAATTTCATCAATTTAGGGTCAATTTTGGCTCAAATTTGGTTGATTTTGGGTCAATTTTGGGTCAATTTTGGCTCAAATTTGGTTGATTTTCAGTCAATTTTGGGCTCAATTTTGGGTCAATTTTGACTCAAATTTCGTCATTTTTTGGATCAAATTTTGTCAATTTTCGCTCAAATTTCGTCCATTTTGGCTCAAATTTCATCAATTTTGGCTCAAATTTCGTCCATTTTGGCTCAAATTTTGTCAATTTTTTGTCCATTTTTTGTCAATTTTCGTTCATTTTTTTCTCTTTTTCTCACAGGTGACCACTTGGATGATGCCGAAATCGCCGCGTCCATCGATGTCCGAGCGTTACCGTGTCCGTTTCCGCCGTYTGCGCCGCGCCGCTCGGACGCTGGTCCTGGAGAACGGCGCCCTCTGCGACGAACTGGCCCGGACCGAGGCCAAAGGGCTCCGCGTCCGGCACGAGCGGCGACTCCTCCTGGGGCGACTCCTGCGGCTGCAGAGCGCCGCTGACCGCTCGGACGGCGCGGCCGGARCGGCCGGAACGCGCCAGGACGGGCACAGGAGGGGCCGGAGGGTCCGAGCGGCCGCAGGGGGGAGGGGCAGGGCAAGAGCAGGGGGGAAAGATGACCAATGGTCAGTTGGGTCAAAAGATGGCCAATGGTCAACGAGATCGAAGGATGACCAATGGTCAACGAGATCGAAGGATGACCAATGGGCAGTTGGGTCAAAGGATGACCAATGGTCAACGAGATCGAAGGATGACCAATGGTCAATGAGATCGAAGGATGACCAATGGTCAACGGGGGCGAAAGATGACCAATGGTCAGTTGGAAAAAATCCAATTGGGTCCAAGGATGACCAATGGCCAATGAGGTCAAAGGATGACCAATGGTCAACGAGATCGAAGGATGACCAATGGTCAACAAGGTCAAGAGCAGTTGGGTCAAAGGATGACCAATGGTCAACGGGATCAAGGTCACATGGGTCAAAGGATGACCAATGGTCAGTTGGAGTGAGGTCAACGGGATCCAAGGATGACCAATGGTCAACAAGATCGAAGGATGACCAATGGTCAGTTGGAATGAGGTCAGCGGAGTCAAAGGATGACCAATGGTCAACGGGGTCAAGAGCAATTGGGTCCAAGGATGACCAATGGTCAACGAGATCGAAGGATGACCAATGGTCAACGGGGTCAAAAGATGACCAATGGTCAGTTGGAATGACGTCATCAGGGTCAAAAGATGACCAATGGTCAACTGGAAAAAATCCAGTTGGGTCCAAAGATGACCAATGGTCAACGAGATCGAAGGATGACCAATGGTCAACGGGATCGAAGAATGACCAATGGTCAAGTGGGAAAAACGCCAAAGTTGGAGGCAAAGATGACCAATGGTCAACGGGGTCAAGACCAACTGGCTCAAGAGATGACCAATGGTCAACGGGATCGAAGGATGACCAATGGTCAGCGAGATCGAGAGCAGCGGAATCGAGAGATGACCAATGGTCACGTGATCACAAGAATGACCAATGGTCAACGAGATCAAAGGATGACCAATGGTCAGGTGACCACAAGAATGACCAATGGTCAACGGGATCGAAGGATGACCAATGGTCAACGAGATCGAGAGCAGCGGAATCGAGAGATGACCAATGGTCAGGTGACCACAAGAATGACCAATGGTCAACGAGATCAAAGGATGACCAATGGTCACGTGACCACAAGAATGACCAATGGTCACGTGACCACAAGAATGACCAATGGTCACGTGACCCCAAGAATGACCAGTGGTCACCTCCAGCCCATCCCAGCGCTCTCCGGCCGCCCCAGGAGCCGCGTCCGGCCGGGCCAGCGGATTTGGCCAGCGGTCAGCGGGCGTGGCCGGAGGAGGACGAGGACGAAGTGGACAATGAGGAGGACGAGGAGGAGGAGGAGGAGGAGGAGGAGGAGGAGGAGGAGGATGAAGGTCCGGCCGTGGCTTTGGGCTACTCGGAGCTGTTCATGGCGAGTCCGGCCGGCTCGGACGAGTGACCAATGAGTGGCCGGAGTGACCACTGAACGGCCGGAGTGGCTACTGAATGGACGGAGTGGCCACTGAATGACCAGAGTGGCCACTGAATGGACAGAGTGGCTACTGAATGGCCACAGTGACCACTGAATGGCCGGAGTGGCCACTGAATGGCCGGAGTGGCCACTGAATGACCAGAGTGGCCACTGAATGGACGGAGTGACCATTGTGTGTCCAGTCATCAATAAAGGGTCTGGAGTGACCACTGAATGGCCAGAGTGGCCACTGAATGGACCGAGTGACCACTGAATGGACCGAGTGACCACAGAGTGTCCAGTTACAAATAAAGGGTCTGGAGTGGCCACTGAATGGCCAGAGTGGCCACTGAATGGCCGGAGTGGCCACTGAATGG